GTCTGAAGTTCATTCAGTAGATCCCAGGGGAAACATCTAGATGAGGATTTCTGGGGCTTGGGAAAATGAGTGGCTTCACCCAGCAGTGGGTGTGGAGTCCTTGCAAGAGTCTGTGACACCCAGAGCCTTCCTCAGCTCCAGGCTGGAGTATCCCAGGAGCAGTCTCACACCTTTTACCCCCTCAGGGCCACTGGTACAACATTAAAGAATCTTAAAAAAACAAACCAGAAGTAAAAGCCTGTGAACATCCCTGTGCAGTGTTTGAACTCCAACTCCTGATAAAATTATCTCAGCACATTGATCACAACACAAGAAAGATGTGGACCTGTTGGAGCAAGTCCAGAGGAAGTCATGGAGATGCTCTGAGGGCTGATGCAGACAGGCTGAGAAAGTTGGGGGTGTCCAGCCCGGAGAAGAGAAGGCTCCAGGGAGACCCTAAGAGCCCTTTCCAGTGCCTAAAGGGGCTCTGAGAGCTGGAAAGGGACTTTGGACAAGGGCCTAGAGTGACTGGACAAGGGGGAACAGCTTCCCACTGCCAGAGGGCAGGGCTAGATAGGGAATTGGGAAGGAATTCTTCCCTGTGAGGGTGATGAGGCACTGGGACAGGTTGCCCAGAGAAGCTGTGGCTGCCCCATCCCTGGAAGTGTTCCAGGCAGGTTTGGATAGGGCTTGGAGCAGCCTGGTCTAGTGAAAGGAGTCCGTGCCCACAGCATGGGGTGGAATGAGAAAATCCTTACAGTCCCTTCCAACCCAAACCATTCTGATGGTAAGTGGTCTTGACCCATGTACCTGCTGTAACATTGACAACCATTGGTGGCAGGGCAATAAGCATGTCAGCAGTGCCATAATCCAGTGTTCTTTGTCCTTTTTTTGGTGAGACTCTTCCTTAATTTATGTATTAAAAATAATGCTAAAAAGCTGGTGCTGGTGACAGGAGCTGATTATAACCAGTGGTGGTGCTGATTTTGTTGTCCTGTAGATCTGACTTTATCCTTTATGATGAAAACAGTACATGGGAGACAGACCCAAAACAATGAGCCTAATGGATATCAACAAAATGTTCTCCATGCTCCAGCCCAGAGATGATGAGGAAGACAACAGAGAGAGCGAGGAGCTGAGCCGAGTGGTGTCTGAGGACAATTATGAAACTCTAGATAAGCTCTTGTCACAAGACAAGTACAAGAGGCTCATCAACCGCAGGAGTGGGTGGGGTGTCCCCAGCACCCCCCTGCGCCTGGCCGCCACGTGGGGCTGCGTCAGGAGCCTCAAGGTGCTCCTGGCCCACGGGGCGGAGGTGGACAGCCTGGATGTGAAGGCTCAAACCCCACTCTTTGTGGCAGTCAGCAAGGGCCACCAGGAGTGTGTGAAGGTCCTCCTGGATGCGGGGGCCAACCCTGTTGGCAGCATCTACAACAACTGCTCACCGCTGCTCATTGCCGCACGCGATGGCAACGTGGACATCCTGCAGCAGCTCCTGGACCACGGTGCGGAAGTCAACGTCCAGGCCAGGCTGCCTGAGTGGGCGGCCAACTCGGTGGCCTGCTCAGGTCCCCTCTACCTGGCTGCTGTGTATGGGCACCTGGAGTGCTTTAGGATGCTGCTGCTTTATGGCGCCGACCCCAACTACAACTGCACGGAGGAGAGTGTGATTGCCCAGATCAAGGAACCCAAGACTCTGCTGGAGACGTGCCTGAGGCATGGCTGCCGGAACGAGTTCATCAAGCTGCTCATTGACTTTGGAGCCAATGTGTACTTGCCCAACATCATGGTGGATGAGACAGCACCACACAGCGAAGGGCTGAAGCTGCTGCTGCAGGCAAGAGGTAACCTGTGAGCATGGCCCCAGGGCTGGAAACAGGCACTAATTTTGTTTGGGCGCAAGTTTCTTCTGATTCTGCTTCCTTTTACCTCTGTTTCCCAATAGCCTCACCCAGGTTTTGCTTCAACATCAACTCACTTTGCACTTGATTGTGTGGGTCTGTGGTTGCCCCATCCCTGGAAATGTTCAAGGCCAGGTTGGATAGGGCTTGGAGCAACCTGGACTCGTGGAAGGTGTCCATACCCATGGCAGGGGGTTGGAAGGAGATGAGCTTTAAGGTCCCTTCCAACCCAAACCATTCTGGGATTCTGTGATTTCCATACCCTGGTTTTCCACTCAGTTGTTGGGTTAAAGGCTGCTTTTCACTATTCCTTTCCTCTCTGGTGCTCATCTTGGGCTCTCCTGTACTGCCCGTGTCTAAAAACTCTGCACTTATTTCCATGTGTGGATGGAAGATTTAATTTCCATGCCCAGGTCCCATGAAGCTCATGCTGCAAAGCTTGTGACTGAGTCTGTGGCATTGCCAGCACAGATACTTAGTTTTCATAGAATCCCTGAATGGTTTAGGTTGGAAGGGACCTTAAAAATCTAGTCCAGCCCTGTCTGGTTTTGGTCTCTCCATGTTCCTTTGCTTTGGATGATGCCGCGTTGGAGGGTAGGGGGAATGTGTGCCTTGAAGGTGATCATCTCATTTTCCTTGCACAGCTCATCCCAAGTCCCTGCTGTCGCAGTCCCGGCTGGCCATGAGGCGTCTCCTGAGGCATTCCAGCCATGCTCCTGCCCCCAGCGAGCTGCAGATCCCCACAGTCCTGGTAAACTACCTCCAGCACCGACCGTGAGACCAGCACAGCTACAGGGACACCTGCCCCCAATTAAAAGCTGCTCTGACACATGCAGAGTGAATCTCATTTTTGCTGATCAGGTGTGTCCAAAAAGCAGTGCAAAAAGATGGGAAGGCAAAAGGGGAAAGAAAGCTGAGGAGAGCACAGCTGCTGCTTGCATCAGGGGAGTGGCAGGGCAGGGTCTGATCTGGCTGGGTTTGCCTCTAATCCTCTTTACTGAAGGATTTTGCACCTTTAGTTGAAGTTGATTGGAGAAAGGACCAGGAAAAAGTGTGGACGGCAGAGGGAGATGAGCAAAGGCTGCTTTTCCCTCCTCTCTTCCTGGGCTGCACTACCAGGCTCCATGCCTGCAGATTCTCCTGTAGCATGGCATCTGCTGCCCCTGAGCCCCCTTTCCAGAGTGATGAGGCACTGGCACAGGTTGCCCAGAGCAGCTGTGGCTGCCCCATCCCTGGAAGTGTTCCAGGCCAGACTGGACAGGGCTTGGAGCAACCTGGGCTAGTGAAAGGTGTCCCTGCCCATGGCAGGGTTTGGCATGAGATGAGCTTTAAGGTCCTTCCCAACTCAACCCATTCCATGGTTCTATGATTCCCAGAGAGGTTAGGTGCAGAGCCCAGTGCTCTCAGCTGGCAGCACAGGCAGGGACTGGGAAGGGTATCCAGAGCCCTGACACCCAGACTCATCTCCCTGCCCCAGCTCTGACACTAAACATCATCTTCTCAGCCCAAAAGTGGTTCATGTTGTGGCTGAGGGTCTGTTGTGAGTGGTCATTGTTGGGGTTTTAATTAAACATGTTGCTGCTATTATTATACTATTGTGACACATTTGGTGAAATATTCCCTACCTGGAAGAGCCCAACAGTCCAGTTGGCATTGTCCAAAAGGGATGCAGGGAATCACTGCAGCTGGGAAATTTCCAGCTGAGCCTGGAGCAGAGCAGCCTGGCACTGCCTTCAAGTGTCTCCATCTCTTCAGTTTTGGACATTGGGATCGCCCTCAGTGGTGGAGCTGCCTTCCTGGCTCTTCCTGCAGCTGGGAGCAGAGCTGATGGATAAACCTCTGTTCCTCAGCAGCTCAGCACCTGCCCACTGGTCGTGCTTTGGACCACTTTTGGGTTGCAGCAGAGTGTGTCCTCATGGGTTTATTCCATCCTGTCCTCACAGCACCTCAAAAGGAAGCACTGCTGAGCAGAGACACAGGAGGAGAACTCCATGTCTGGATCTCCGAGGATTGCTCTTGGCCAAACACAGGCAGATCCCTGCAGGATTGATAGGCTTGTTTCAAAGGTTGTGGGACCTATTACTCAGCATCTATTAATTGGGCTCCCAAGAGAAGCATTAGGGCTTGGAATTAGCCTGGATGTTGGGAATTGCTCCATAGGGAATGGTGGTGCTCATGCCATTTCCCTCACCGTACGGCCCCCATCAGGAATGCAGTGATGGTGACCCTCCCAGAGATGGAGGGGCTGGGAAAGGCTGTCATGCTCCAGTGTGGATTCCACTCGTGGGAGGGGTGGAAGGTGTCTCTTCCTCTTGGGGGAGGGGGGTCCTTGCTGTCACACCTACATGGGGACCTGGGGGGCTTGCAGGATTTGAGTGTCCCCAAAATGGGGAGGTGTTGTCACTGCCGTGGGGTGTGGGATGGGGGGAGGTGGGGTTATGGCGGGTGGGGGGGAACTAGGGGTGTAATGGGTGGGAGCTGGGGGTGTGATTGTAGGTGTGAGCAGGGGGTGCAATGGGTGTGAGCTGGGGGTTTGATTGTGAGTATG